ACAAATAGGGACTGAGGACATGAGACAAAAGTCCACTTCTCACGTGACAACCGAGGTCTTAGATCATAGATGCCGCACAGCACACGCACACAGTTCTATGATCTCTCTATCAACAAAATATAATTAGTGGAAGAAAAAGAAAAGGATTTGTAACTCAAATAATAAAGAGCAGTTATCGCTGCATTCGAAGTCTTTTTTAATTAACATTGTAAAGTTATCATCAACGAACTATTATCTAATAGTACTTCTCTTCTCGATCTCAAAATATGTCTCAAGTTCGAATATACCGTCTACGCAAGGGTTTAGGTAGAAGAAAAACATAAACGTATTAGGTGAGGGGGAAAGCGTGAAATTCAAAGAAGTTGATGAAAAGACGAAGGTTTAGGTAAAAGTGTAAAACACAGCAGCAGCAGCAAAAGGAGTCCTGTCCGGGTGAATTTCAATTGGCTGCTATGCAAAAGGGTGATGCTCAAGTTGACAATTTATCAAAGGGTTTTGACTTTTCAGAGAAAAAGTAAAAAAAAAATGAAAGGTTGAAGGACAAGTGTTATAATTGCAGTGCTCTGGCGAAAAATCTAGTGGAAATTTGTCAGGGAAGGCTTCTCTGTGTGTGTACCAGTAAACCCTAAAGCCATAGGCTTAACCGAAGCCAGGCCAGCCCAGTTGACATTGCCAACTGTTTTCTTTTCTTTTCTGGTTTCGGAGAGACCAAAAGGAAGACAAGTGACGTTACATGATATCTGCTCCTTAATTTGATTTGATGTTTGAAGGTTTTGAATAACAACATCACGAGGAATTAAATTTTTTACAATGTTTCCTCTGTCAACTTTAAGACCCACGAAAAAAAAAGGAGTTATTTCTGGCTGCTCAAAACAATTCAATGGTTAAAATGATGCCTCATTTTGCAGATTTAAACGACACCTTTTCTACTTGTCAATTTCTCACATGTGAGGAACCTCAGCCTCGACACTATGACTTCACCCATGCTGAGAAGAATGGTGAAGTCAAATCTTGGCTCCTTGTACAGTTGTACATTTTTCCTTACACGTTCATAATAATGTCTTTTTTTAATATTAAAAGATATCTCACATTCAAATTTCTCATATTTCGTATGATTTAAGGTCGATACTCCCCTCTCATCAGAAGATGAAATTTGTACGACGGATAGGTGCATTGACTAATGAAAATTGCATTTACTTATATTCCTCCTTACGTGATGGAGATACATATTTTTGGTCATCAATATGGAAGGGTTTTCTACATAATGAACCGAGACTTATTCCAATAATGAAAAGAGAAATAGCATTAGACCGAAAGATAGTTGATTTCTGGTAAGAGTTTATGTAGAAGATTAAGAGATTAATGTACCGACTGAAAAATAATATAATCAATTCATTAGGGTAAATAATCATTCGTCATCTGGCCTACACGATCCCTTTCTGTGGTGCTGTTTCTGTTTAGGCACCCTATATTGCCTTCTAATCAAACAACACTAATGAGTAACAATGTCCAATCAATTAAACTGGGCAGATACAGCTGTAAGACCAAAACTATAGTAACGCAATGCCACATTTGTCATCATAGCTTCACAAACAAACATAGCCGGCTTGCAAGATAAGTTTCAAGGAAAGATTTGAATACAGAGGAGGATGCTATCATCACAAGATGCCTTTCGATGTGCATAAAGTTCCCCATTTCCATGATATTGTCTTTTGACACTGACTAGGAAAAGAAAATGCTCATGCAATACTCATAAATTGTGCATTATGTCAATGATTTGGTGGAGCAAAGTCATTAAAGTTCAATTGGCCTTTTGTTTCCCATTAGTGGGATGTTTGCATTGTTAATTTGATTTTATCTTATTAATCCCCTTGATAGCTTGTTTATCACATCAACCACAAGTCAAGAAATTTTGGTCAACGGGGCAAAAAACCTTGTTTTCTCTTATTTTGTTTAAATAAGACAACTCGTTACTTGAACGCATAGTTTTTCAACGTAACATTACAATTTTAGCTATTGAATTAAAGAGATAGTAAATTTGTTTATTGTGTCAAAATCAGGTTACTATGTTTGTCACTATTTGTATTTTTCAAAAATAAGTCGTGTTATTTGTAAAACATGATGAAAATAAAGACGAAGAAAGCTACAATGTTCATACTTCATACCAAACAGTAGCATCCGGTGGATGTTATCAATAATTCACCATTTAAAAGGTCAATGTGCCATGATACAAGCCACGAGGAGATCCCAAAAAGTGGTGGCTATTTCTAATGATCCAATCCAAACCATCCCCACCCACAATCATACCTAGAAATTGCAAGTCCAAAACTACAATAGTTAAAAGCAAACTACAACTGTAAACTCTACTGCTTGGCTCGTTACCATTTTGTTTATTCTCTCTTTCTTTCCTCCCCAAAACCATGAGTACCACCAGTCAACCATGCATTTTTGTAATCTATACATCGATCATGGCGTTCAAACTCATCGAGCTATGCATGCCTAGAAATTAAATCTTATTTTATAGCATATTTTACTCACCAAAATTGTACCGTATTAATTTTTATTTTTTTAAAAATTGGTTTGTGACTCAGAGCAGAGAATGTCAACCAATAAAAAGATGTCTGTCTTCAACCCTAAAATAAACATGAGAATCTAATCTATGAATTGACTATGTAGCATCTAGATAAGGTCTAGCTCAGAAGAGTCTGAGCTTTTAGAGCATCCAAAGACCAATGACATAAAAATAATGCACATCATATGCAATTTTTCGTTTGTTTAATCAAATACATGAGAGAGAGAGAGAGAGAGAGAGAGAGAGAGAGAGAGAGGGTATTTGCATGTAATGTTCCCTAGAAAACTTGTCTCCAAGTCCCCAAAAAAGGATTTAAAGGGAGCCCCTTTTTGTCTTTGATGAAGAAAACAAGCATGGGGGTGGTGGGGGAGTCGAAAGTTGCTGTTATCAAATACCCACTTATGGCAATAAAGAAAGGTAGCTAATAGCCATGGTGCTGGTAATGGGTAATCACAGTAAGCAATAATGCACCACACTCCATAGCCTATACCAACATGACATTGCTTTCAGAAGACGGTGGAGAGTGGGGACACTTGGTTGTTCATGTTGCTTGCCATGTTTTGACACTCCATTGGTGATCCTTTTATGACTTCCACAGAGATTGCTTGGTTTTGGAAGAGCATAACCTGAGCTAGAAAATACTTGGATTTACTTATCTGGAATGTGTGAAAGTCACAGTTCGAAGAAATCAAAAGTTGGGGAGAGGAATGAGTATGAAATTAACTGCTTCCTTAATCAATTTAATTTTGGTATTTCAGGTATTAGATTACGATTTTTAATGTAGAATCCACATATCTTTTGATTATCAATCAAATTTATCCCGGATTTTCAAGTACTAGATTACATATTTTAATGTAGAATTCACATAATTTCTTTATTCCTTATGTGTTAATAGACGTAAAGAAAGACCAGAAGTCATAAATTGGAATAATTCTAATACCAATACGCTAGTAAGCACGAGAAGTCAAGAAATATACATTCCATCGTAGCCGAGTGAGTTTCTACAAACAACAGTTTGAGATGCGTACATAAATGTTTCTTTTTGTATTTTAAGCTTAGTTCATACCATAAATTAATTGGTCTTAAATCACCTTCCGAACTTTGTTGAATTTTGATGCCATTACACCATCTTAATCTTAAATTGATTGTCCGAACAAATGTCATATCTCACTCAGTGCTAAAATGCTTCAAGCTGGTTTTCGAAGGCATACCAATGATCGAATCTAAATTTAATCCACTCTTATGAACCTCAAACAGGTTGCTTCAAGAAAAATGAGCAAGACCTCCACCTGTTTAAGCTACAACTGCTGAGGAAAAGAAAAGAAGAGAAAAGTTCCCTCAACCTGGCATCGAGAAACAACCAGTCCTCAGGTTACATAGCAGTATCCTGAAAGACCAAGTGCAGAGCAACAAAAATATGAAACAAAAAGCCAAAATTTTATGTGTTCTCCTCCCTATAAAACAGCTACTAACAGTTGTTTCCAGGTGCAATCAGTTTACCTTCTTGCCAAAAGGTGCACCCAACTTCCCACCAAGCTTAAAAACCCTGAAAGAGTTCCCACACAGCTAATCCAGTAACAAATTTACTAGATTCATAGGATTACCAACTGTTTTACTTACTGAATAATATATTCACATACCATCCCTCGATGCAACCCAAAACACCGAGTATTATTTGCTCAGCATGGTCTTACCTAATGACTGTTTATTCCACCATCAGAAAGAAAATTAGCATCCAACACCAGAGGAAGAATTGCAGTCACAGATACTTCGGGTGGTGTTGTGTTCCCTTCCCCCTTTAGCTACAAGAAAAAGTGGGAGCCTTATTCCATCATTAAAAAGCTAAAATGAAAAAAATCAAATTCAGTACCTGCCAATATTATCTATGCACACCTTTCTTCTTTTTCCCTTTCTCTAAATCTATACTAATATGTATAAAGCAATGACTATATTTCTGTCTCATACTCTTCCATTGATTCACTCAAGTTCCAATCCCAGAAGTTCGAAATCTCAAGAATGCACCCTTTTTATGTGAGGGACTCTCTCACAAGATAAAAGTATAATGGTAAAATAGAATGAAAATAACTTCAAACCAGCACTCCCCACTAGTCATGTTTTAGGGGAGCCCAGTGGCATCTAATACTCACACAAGAAGATCACAGCCCAAAATTCTCTTATCTAGGACTAGAATAACCTGACCTGGACCTTGCACCTAGCAATCACATACATCAATAAGAGGCACCGCATCATACATGTACAGAAACACTACCATAAACAAAATTGAGAAGATAAAAGCAACCAAACAAGTCCTAAGCGAGAATTCATTTGCCCACCCAATAAGCCCCTAACCATGTCACAGGGAAATTTCCACATACAATTGATTGCCAAGGAATACTCATATAAGGTGTTTTAAGCATAACAAAAAGTGTTTTAACAACATGATTTCAAATTTCAAAACAAGCCGGGCACACATATACAGAATGAAAATGCAAAACAAACAACTTAAGGAAGTTTTAATTGCACAACATAATTGTACTGAAAGCTGAAAATTTCATATTTCCATGTACTGCCATAAAGAAATGCATACCGAGCAGAGGACCACACTGAAACATTGCTCCAAAGACATCCATCAAACCAACAATAATAAAGACTTACACACTGGAGCCAGCAAAGGAATACTTCACCAACTGGGAATAGAGTTCCCATAAAGTCATGTCCTCATTATCATGACTTAAGCATTTTTACCATTAGGAGACTTAACAAGACACGAAACCAAGAAAGAGAACCATCATCTTTCAATACACAAATCTTCAGTTCAGCCCATCAGTACTAGATCTTATCAAGTTTCTCTGCCTTGACGACAGGATTGGCTTTTGCAATAGCATCTTGACCAGCAGTCCTATAATCAAAAGGACAGTCATGTTTGTCTGAATAACGATGACTTGCACAGAAGGTGTTTCCACATTTGCAATTGAAGCCAGTTAAACCAACACGCTTTCGGCAAGTAGTGCATCTGCTTGGCCCCTCTCTGTCTTTCACCTCAAACACCATGCTCGAAGACGAGTCAATGGATGGTTCTGTTGAAACAACTCTTGTCTCCACTTGTCCAGCTTGCACATCAACAACACCTGCAACTACTGGGCCAATGACAATGCTGCTACTGCTGCCATTCACAATGCTGTCAATGGATGAAGCAGCAAAATTGGCTTGCTCCTGCTTTAGGAGTGTGTCCTTGTAACATTTTGAACACATGTTCATTGTAGCGGCCCTTCCAAAGAATCCACAGTTGTTAACACAAAGGATAGGGCGGTCTGGAGTTTGGCATCCGGTTTCATCATGAGATTCCATCTTTATTAGTTATCTGCAAAAGAAAAAAGAACAAGAAAAAGCACCTCATCGTTTCCATTCACCCGCTGCAAAAATACCAAACCATTATACACATACAAATTAAGGACAAATTTCAACAAATACACAAGTACTATAAAATTCGGGCAACTCCAAGTGCACAGCATAGTGAACGCATATAACCAATTCTAGAGAATACAGCAACTACATAATCAAAGAAAAGAGAAGAAAACAACTCTTATGCACTTCAACTCATCAATTCTAGATATTTATCTCCTTCCCTGAAAAGTTTGAGATTTTCAACCTGGGTAAAACATCAATTTCACTTGCTCTGTTATGCAAATCGAATGCCCTCAGTTGAATAATTCAGGCCAAAGATTACGATTTCAACCACATAACTCTAACAAATGCAGAAACATAATCCGACAAAATCTGAACAAGCTCAGTTCTATCAAATGCAGGAAACACACAAAACTTCCATAGTTTGCTCCCCTAAATCTGAACAAGCTCAGTCATGCAACGAAAAATCTGAACTTTCAACCGGAAACGTTTTCAACTGCAGAGGAACGCTTACATAATTTTATCAAACACGATGATTGAAACCCTCTACAAGTAGTCAACCAACACATAATGAAAACAAATTTATGCAACTAACCAGCTTCATATTCAAGTGCAAAAAATTAACCCCGAAAAACGAATAAATAATTAATAAATTTCTTACAGAACATAAATTCCACACCTGCTTGGTTTGGCCGATCTCGAGTCACACAATCGAACCAGGCGATTCCTGTTTCTCGTGGAAAAAAAAAATTCAAAAATTCAAAAACCAATAAATTAATAACCTCTGCAGAAAGCAAAATCAAATAAATATACAGGAACAACAAAAATCAAATACGCAGAGAGGGGATTATTTGGATACCCTAATCGAGGAGATTATTGCGAGATAATTGTACAGAAAAAATAAAAAATTTAAATACAAAAAAAAATAAAAGGAAAGAGAAGAAGATAAAAGGGAGGTTGGTCTTTGGGTTTTGGTTTTGGAGGCTCGTGGGGTCTCTCCGTCGGTATTTAAAACTTTAGCTTTCCTCTTTGCCAACGAACGCTCTCCACTGAGTCGGTGGTGCTGCGAAAACCGCCCTTGGAGGACCGCGTAATTGCGGTGTTGCCATTTCATTATCTGACTCGGATTGTCTCAGAGCTCGGGCTTCAAGATTGGGCCAGGCTGGACCCATACTCGTACAAATGTTGGGCTTGGCCTAGATGAGACAGGTGTACCAATTTATCGAGCAAAAACGGCGACCTATTTAGGGCCCGTTCGGTAGAGCGTTTTCAGCATATTCTCTGTTTTCATTCTCTGAAAACAGTCAAAATATGTGTTCGGTGGCAAGAGTTTGAAAACATGAAAAACAACTTTCAAAAAACAGATTCAAACTCATGTACAAAAATTGAAAACGCCAAATTATCGTTTTCAATTTATGTTTTCATTTTCTACCCAGCAAAACAGAAACGAAAATCAAACCCATAATCAAACCCACCACGGCCACTACTACCAAACCTCACAGACCTAGTCCCCACATCACCACAACCTGTCAAACCCAGTCGACACCAACACCACCACCATCCCAATGGAATCACCACCAAACACCCAATCGAACCCAATACACATCATCGCCACCTAGTAAAAAGCAATCGACCCCAGCACCTCCACCACCCATGCCCAATCAAAGCACCATTACCGCCATCACCACCTGATCAGGAGGGGGGAGAGACAGAGACAGAGACAGAGAGACAGAGAGAGACAGAGACAGAGACAGAGACAGACATACAGAGACAGAGACAGAGACAGAGAGGTGGGTTGATGGGATTCATGCCATGGAAGGAAGGAGTGGGTGCTGCGGCATGAAGAGATAGTGAAAAAAAAAGGGAAGGAAGAAGAAAAGAGAAAGGAGGGGAAGAAAGAAAGAAACGGGGCTGGGAAGGAGTTTTTATCTAGCCAAAAAAATTTAATTAATGAATATAGAATATATATTTCAATAAACCAATAGGAAACAATTCATGATTTTCTTGGTTGACCAAGAAACATATGGAAATTGTTTTTTTTTATGTGTTCTCCCTTATTTGTTTTTTTTATCTTCTATTTTCGTAGTTCTACCTGTTTCGGAGAAGAAAATTCCACCTCTTTATTTATCATTTTCACTTATTATTAAAGATAATTCTAGGTTTTTATAACATTAGAAATTTTTTATTTTTTATAGAACATACGTTAGCAAAAATATACTTGAAAAATAACTTACATATTATTATTCTCAAATTGTACTACCAGACACGTTTTCACTGTTTTTATTTTCTGAATATGTTTTCTAATTAATCTACCAGACGCATTCTTGAATCCTGAAAATGCAAATTCGTTTTCTCGTTTTCATTCTCTGAAAATATTCTCTGAAAACGTTACCAGATAGGGATTACTCGTGTCAAATGACTCAATAACCTGCTTTTTTTTTCTTTCCGATTTTTTATTATTATAAAAAATGGTCTCTAAATTTTTCAAAAGTTATCGTTTGAGTCCTTGAACTTTTAAATCACTCCGTGTGATCCATGAGTTTAATGACTTAAATAAGGACATTTAAAATATTTAGGTCTCGTTTGTTATACATGACTGTCTTAGCATAGACTATTCTTAAGGACTGTCTTTCCTTGACTTGGCTTACTCTAAGTTGGATAAAACTTATCATGCGTTTGGTGTATACTTGGACCAGGACTAGATTTTTTTTTTCCCCAAAAATATCTATATATATGTATATATGTATAAATACATATATTATGTACGTCATCGGCAGACCCACGAATTTTTTCGCGGAGGTTCAATTTTAAAAGGCTAAAAGCTTTATTAAAAAAAAAAAGAAGAAGAAGACATATTATGAATAAGTTTGAATTTCATTCCAACTTACTTTGGAAGCTTGATCGATACAATATTTTTTTTCTTGGCACAAGACTTGATCAATGAATCAAATTTTATTTTATTTTATAAAAGACTAGAGTTCTCTATAAAAAATTAAAAAAATTAATGCACCAAGAAAATAAACAAACTTGGTGGTGGAGACGTAAATTTTTTTTATTTATGAATTTGATGGTTTTATAGACTTGGATTGGTTTAAATCTCTCAAAAAGGGACTTTTTTATTGACAAGACCCACCTCGAATTCCTCGGAACCTGGGATGAATCCTGTGGAATTTTCGACATCACACCAATGTCGAGCCCTCTTACTAATACTATAGCCTCTTTTCCAAATTAAGGAAAAGGGGCACGAAACTTCCTGCTGAAATTTCAGCAGAGTCTCCCCTGAAAAATGGATATTTCCCAAAAATTTTAACATGTTAAAACACAATCATAATCATCCCAACAGCAGCATGCACAAGATAATAACATGCAATTTACATAATTGGCCTCCGGCCTTCAAATAATTCAAAACAAAACCACCAACAATGCTCTTAGGTCAAATAATGAAATTAAACCATGCAAATAATGAACTCAAACAAATTTATGCACGCCCACCGTAATTAACATAAAATAACTTCCCAATTTTCATAATGCGATGTTTAGCAACCAAACACAATCGCAAGTAGTTTAAGGACTCGGCTGGCTCGTCGTTGATTCTTGGACCGTCATAGAGTGGTGAATCAAACTTTCGTTGCCCATTTTTCTGAGTTAGCGAGAACTATGCCCAAAGCATCCGGAGGGAGAAGCAAGTCCCAACGGAGTACTATGTTCTTCTTCCAGCGGCTGCGGGTTTTGTGCTGATGTTTCCGACAGCTAGATGAATCGAGATTGTGTGAGCTTGGCATGAGAGCTTGGGGTGTGGGAGCTAAACGCCCACAAGTTTAGCAAATGAGAATGCTTGTGTTTGGCTTGGTGTTGGATATGCTTGAGGTTGGGTATTTATAATTTGTCGTTTGTAGCTGTGGCTATGGGGATTTAAGAGTTTCAAGATAAGGAGGATGGAAGGAAAAGCTTGAGGTTTGAAGGTTATGGTGTTTACAGCTTGGAAGGAAGAAAAAGCTTGGAGTTATGCTTAGTGAGTCTTTATGGATTTAAGAGTTCAAGAGAAGGATGATGAGAAGAAAATCTTGAGGCTTGAAGGCTATGGTGTTTATAGCTTGGAAGGGTATGAGGAGGAATGAAAAGCTTGGAGTTATGCTTGGTGAGACTTTATAGGGAGAATGGTTTCAAGGAGAAGAGGTTATGGCTGGGGTGCTTGCAACATCTAGGAAGGAGGTGTGATGATTGAAGAAGGGGGTTGATGGCTACTGGGATGCTTGCAGCAGCCAAAGCAAGAAGTTATTGTGCTGCTCCAGCAGCTAAAGGAAGGGCCTGATGGCTGAAGAAGGGGGTTCATGGTTGCTGTGTTGCTTGTAGTAGTCGAATGAGGGGGCTTGATGGTTGAAGAAAAATTGGTTGATGGCTGCTGTGTTGCTTGCAGCAGCCGAATGAGGGGGCTTGATGGCTGAAGAAAAACTGGTGGATGGCTGCTGTGTTGCTTGCAGCAGCCGAATGAGGGGGCTTCATGGCTGAAGAAAAATTGGTGCCATTTGCCTGAGCCATGAATGCCAATTTATAGAGGGTGAGAGTTTTCCTTTATTTCTAATAGGTAAAGGGACGTGTTGGAACCAGCCTATTTCCAATGGTTAAAATGGAGCACTCGGGCATGCTATTTTCCAGCAGGTGAAGCTAGGTACCATAAACTAATTATTTCCTATAGGTAAAAGGAAACCCTGGAAACAGCTTGTTTCCAACGGGTAATAGAGAGTGCTAGAAAAGGCTTATTTCTAATGGATAAAGCTAGGCATTTGTAAAATGACTATTCCCTATGGGTAAAAGGAAGTGCTTGAAAAATATCTCATTTGCTCACCCATATTGGAGAATTCTAAGTAATGGGCTTAGACTTTGGTGCTCATAAGTAGCTAGCCTAAAGTCTCCATTATCCAAGAGCTTCTGTGGGCCTTGTGGACCTCCGTAACCTTCCACACCACAATCCTTCGTGCAAGCCCCGTAAACCACATGACTTGGGTTCATGTGAGCTTGGTAGGTGACTGACATATGAAAAATGTATTATTAGCTTGGCATGACATGCACACTATTTCTATATTTATTTAATGAATTAATTCCCAAAATACAGCTTGGATTAACACATGACCAACATTATATGTTATTTTGGGCTTTAAATGTCTTTAGGCTTCTTGTGACTTTTTTGGGCCTCAACAGGTCCATTTTCCTGAGGAACGGGCAACTTTACTGAACGAACGCAACCCCTGCATTTGTGTGAACAAATAGCCTGTTTGTTTGATAAAGTAAGTTAGTTGGGTCTATTTTCCCGAGGAACGGGTAACTTTACTGAACGAACGAACCTCTTGCGTTGGCGTGACAAAATAGCCCGTTTGTTTGGTAACCTTCCTAAATTTGGTAAATAATTGTAATCGTTCCATGACAACATTATGATTCATTTTCACCTCTTCATTCTTGTATAAAAGGAGCAATTTACTAAAACATTTACTACTCTATCCATTGCAAAGGCATGGCTTCCTCTTCAAACCAACCTCACATTGTCAAAAACCCAAAAGAGCAGTTCATATTATGCCTAACTTCTGCAAGCATGTTCCTCACGAATTGCGTCTGTTTGTACCATATCTGATCCTCCACTCATCCATTGACACGTGGATCACTTACTCCCCAAGTGCCCAAGGCTCCGAACAATCAGCATCGGCTACCGATGAAATTTGTCTCAAAGCAGCAAACGGTCGCTGCAGGCCCAGCATAGTCTACAATCGGTATCTCCTACCGATTCTGCAGAATCAACCTCGAAGCACCCGCCCGGAATATCTAAGGACTCGTGTCAACCTCATAGGGCCCTCCCACAAGTCCCACATCGAAATTAAGTACCAAGAGCATACAAAATGCCCTCTATAAATAGGCCCCTTCACTACAATACAGGGGTAAGACTTTTCAGCTTGGCTTTTATACTAATATATTGTCAACAGCAAAAGCTCTCAGAAAAC